GGGAGAAATGTGGCTGCTCCAGGGCGTGCATCTCTCCTCCTGGAAGCAAGACCTCGGATACCTGCTCAGCTGAGGGGGCAGCTGAGAGCCCCAGTCAGCTGCCCTGTTTGCTCATGACCTTTCCATTAGATACCATATTTTATAGTTTCATGTTTTCTGGCCTGGGTTTTTTGGGGACCTGGGGTCGGTTAGGGGGGATATTAGTTTGAAGAAAAAAGGCTGGATTCAAGCCCCAGCTGTGGGACAACTTAGGGTGAGTCACGGCCCAGAAATGTAGTGTCAGGGACTGAAGCCAGAGGGGAAAATATTTATAACTGCCGGAAACATGATGAACCTGTCAAAAATACATGAAATCAGCTAAATAAGTTGGGAAGAAAAAAGCAAGGTCTTGTTTTGTTCTGTGAGTGTGAACATTTTTTAAAAAAATCACCAAGAAAGAGAAAAATAACTCCTCTACATACAACTGTCTTATGTGAATGATGTTTGGGGGAAATCGAGGAAAGTATCTGTTCCCTTGAGCTGAAGCAGGTTAGAGAGAAGGGATTAGCCGTAGGAGGCAATTGGGAGAGAGATTATGAATTCAGTGGACCCAAGAGATCAAAGCCGACATAACCATGGGGCTACAGCCCTCCCCCCCGGGGAATCTTGGGAGATTCGGAGTGATGCTGGTCTCCTGTGAATGCGGAGTGGGGGTGAAGATGTTTTTATTTATATCTGAGCAGGAGAAAGGAGCTCTTAGGATGGATGGACAAGCACCTAGGCCACTGCTGTTGGGTAGAGCAGGGTCGCTCTGGCTGCCCAGGTTCTGGGACTGAGAGAACTTGTGTTCTGGGAGGAACCAGGGGGGCCTGGGTGGATCTGAAGCAGAGGAAACTTAGATTGAAAAGGAATGGTTTCCACTGCAGCAAACACTAGGGTTCAGAAAGAATGTTGTTTCCTGGGCAGCCAGAGAAAGGGAACCTGGGATTCGGCCAGCTCCCCAGGATGCCAAGCTGGGGTCATAGAGACTGGGGAGGCGTTGGAGACGCTGGAGGAGAGGAGGGACCATTCCTGACAAGTCTGATGGGCAGCTAAGGAGCCTGGACCTCGACCTGGCCGCGGTCGGCCCAGGGGAGGGACTTCAGAAAGAGACTTCTATGGGCCACAGCAGAAGAAGGGTCAGCGGGAACAGATCAGGGACAGAGAGGCTGGCCAGGGGGCGCCACACAGCCCCGTGAGCAATAAGGAAGCTGGTCTCCGAATCTAGCCTCCAGAACCTTCCTTGTGGTGCTCCTGGAGGCTGGCGTGAGGGGGTTCCCACTGAAACTCGCTCCAGGAGGGTAAAGGGGGAGCGTGTCTTCAACTGATTAATAGTGACTGCCCAGAGCCTTGTCAGGAGCTCCAGCCCGGGAGAAGAAGAGCCACACTGATGGGTGATGTCTGCCGTGCGGGCGGCGCGGGGTATGGCAGCGTTCATTCATTCATCCACACACGGTCAAGAGCTGTCCACCGGCTCTGTGCCAGGCCCCTGCACTCCGAGGCAGTCCTCTGCAGGTGTTCAGGTCCCAAAGGCTCAGCTGCAGAAAGAGCAAAACAGCCCCAAGCCCAGGCTCCACTCCGCTCTAGACCTTCTCCCTCGGAGCCTCTTGAAGGTTTTGGAAAAGGCCTGTGTCCCATTCTCTCAGGGTCTTGAACAAATTAGCTGCTTGGTAGTTATTTGTGGAAGGAGAAAAAGAAATGCGTGAATCACCGTATTTTCCACTTTTTATTCATTTAACAGAGAAACCAATATATACATTTTGCAAGGCCTTTTCGAGGATTTGGAAATGAATTAGACCCAATCTTTGCCCTCTAGGAATTCATAGCACCATCTGGAGGTTAGACATGTGCCCTAATATCTGTAAAACCAGGTCGTTGTGGGTAAATCCAAGTTCCTTGCAGGTGCCTGGCTTCAGGAAGGCAGACAGAGCTTGTCTGGGGCCCGGGATCTCAGAGGGGAGACCAGTGCCAAGGTGAGAACCAAGATGGGGGTGGGTAGCGGAGGATGAAGCCAGCTGCCCTTCCCCTCGGCCCCTCCCCATGCTCCCCAGGGAGGGCTCCCTCCATGCCTCCCTGTCCCCCTGGAGCCTGGAGACAGACCACAGCTGAGCAGGAGGGGCGACAGCAAGAGGTCAGAGTGAAAATGGCAGTACAAATCCCCTTCGAGGAAACAGAGATGTCCAAGTCTTGTTCTGTCACTGGGCCACTGGAGAGGACTTTGTCACTCAGAAAACAGCATGGCAAGAGGGAGGCAAGTGCCGAGCCCAGTCCCCCCAGCTGGCCTCCATGGCTGACCACAGCACAGCGCTGGCCTCAGCCCAACGAGCGGCGCCCACATCACTGCCCCAGACCGTGGGCACAAAGGGCCTCTGTTCCTCCAGCTCCTGTCTCAGTCCCCACACACAGTCACCCAGTTCCCCAGCCCTGGGTCCTGCCCCTCCTCCTCACTGGCTGGTGAGGAAGGGGGGAGGGGCGAGGGCACGGTAAAGGGGAAAGGACAGCCCAGGGCCTTGGAGGACTTGGGGTGGTGGAGGGAGGGGAGGAGGAGGTCTCAGGCCGGAGTGGAGGGCCACAGGGACCCAAGGGGGTATGGAGTCCACCCGGGGCCCTGGCCAAGCTGTGAGCCCAGACGGGGGCCCAGGGGCTTGTGGACCGCCCTCCCCAGAACTTAAGCCTCTCTTCTGGGATGGTCCGAGGCCGGAACCAGGAAGCAGTGCAGCCTCCGTGCACCGAATTTTTGAAGAGCCTTGTGAAGCTCGGTGGAGTAGCAAGCTCTGAGTCCTGGAGCCGTGCTCTGGAGTTTTTGTCCTGCGGAGAGCAGGGAGCACGCGGGCTGCACGAACCAGGCACACACACAGAGGTGCACGCGCAGACATGTGTGTGGGCACACTCGCGCAGGTGCCCTGGGTCCCTCTGCGGCTGGTGACTGATGAGCCATCACGGGCATGTGGGGTCGCGGGACCCAGAGCAAACAACAAAGCAGGAGGGTGTGCCACAAACAAGCCTGCAGGGGCTCCATGACCAAAACCCTCAGCTGGACTGGGACATGAAGAGGGTGGCTCTTCATAATTTTTATTTGGGCGAGGGTCTTCTTGAATGGTTGCTTACGTAAAACCATCTAAAAGACTGTCGAGAAAATCTGAATCTATCTTAAACCGATTTCCCTTCCCTGGGAATATATGCAAGTGCGTATATGGGTGTGCGTGTGGACACAAGAAGGAGTGTATGTGTGTGTGTGTGCGTGCAAAAACACAAACTGCTGTGCTGGTGGGGAAGCTGGAAAAAGAAAGAAAAGCGTAGGCTTTTAATCAGTCCTATACATACGTGTGTGTGCATGTGCACACAGAGCCATAAACACACACACATCCAGCCAGCCGCATTTTTGGCCCAGTCTGCATCCCGTATCAGTGATTCTAAACTGCTTTTATGTCCGAGAGCTGAGCCCACTTAAACCAGTAGCTCTCAGCCTTGCTGGCACATTGGAATCAGGGAGTTTTTAAAAATCCCAATGCCTAGGGAACGCTCCCAGACCAATACATCAGAATTTCTGGGGATGGGACTTTGGCATAAATACCTCATAACAATATTTAATCATCTCCTTAGGTGATTCCAATGTCCTGCCAGGGCTGACTGTTCCTATGCATAGAAAGCCGTTCTCTCATTCCTCTGCACAGAAAACTTCTATTCATCCTTCAAGACCCAACTCCCATGGCCCCTTTGGAGGAAAGCTCTTCCTGACACCTGCCTAGGGAGAATTAGTTTTTTTCTTTCCTGAAGTTCCCAACAACATCTTAGACATCTGACTGCATCATAATTATTTGCTTGTCTGTACAGAACCATGACTTCTGTGAAGACAGGTGCTGTGTGAGATCCATCTCTCTATTGCCAACAACTAGCTTGATGTCTGATATGCAGCTGATGATCCATAGATGCTTCAGAATGAAAGGGAAGTACGTAATGAAGGCCAGGAACAAGAGAGGGGTGGGGAGTGGAGGCCATGTGTTGTTTCTGGGTGGGAAGGCCATAGGTCTGATCCCCTGGCAGCAGGTTGGGGGTACGTCCCCACCTTTTAATAACAGAAAGGGTCCTCTTATGTCAATAAGTTTGAGGCTCATTGGTCCACATCTCCTGTTTCCCTAGGAAGTGCCACAGGTATTACTCAGAAATTCAGAGAGACCAGTGAGTGGGGTTGTGACCTGTGCCTGGTGTCCTAGGTGACCAACCTTTCTATTCTTTTTAGATTTATTTAAAGAGAGAGTGTGTGTGTGCGAGCAGTGGGAAGGGCAGGGGGGGAAGAGAGAGAGAGAGAGAATCCTCAAGCAGACTCCCTGCTGAGCATGGAGCCCAACTCGGGGCTCAATTCCAGGGCCCTGAGATCACGACCTGAGCAGAAACCAAGAGCCAGCCGTTTCACCAACTGAGCCACCCACGTGCCCCCAGGTGACCAACTTTTCTTAAGCGTCCCCTTGTTGCTCTTACCCCAAGCCCACTCTGTCTGGCTGGCTTCCAGGGCACCTTTGCTCTGAGGAGTGCTCTGAGCCATCCAGATCCCCTGCTTCTGTCCCAGATCCAGGCCCGCCCAACAACCTGGTCCTTGGCAAAGGGTTGTGCCTGGGAGACACTCGTGCAACGGAAGGAGGCTCCTGTCTGGGCCTGCAGACGCTCCGGCCCCAGCCCAGGGGCCTGAGGAGCAGACAAGAGAGGGCATCCCTGGGCTGAATGAAGTGAGTGAGGTCTGAAGTGGAAAGAGCGCCTCACGTTTCCGACCAGGCCTCCTGGTCACTAGTCCAGGCTGGGGTCATGGTGAGGGCCCCCTATCCCCTTGCACACGCAGACGCACACACTCACACACTGCCCACTTCCTGAAGGGTCCTCGACCTCTAGGCCGAGACCAGCCTCTCCCCTCCCGCACAACTGGCCCTCGACTGACCAGCCGAAGTCCTGGTTACCCACAGAGTCCATTCAACACAAGCAAGTGTTTTCTTTACATGTTGGGGCTTTTACTTCAATTTGAAGCAGATGGTTGAGCACAGATGTGAACAGCTTTGGCCTTTTGAGCACAAGGAAGGAACAGGCCTTGGCTTTGAGCATGCCCCCCACCGCCGCACCTTCCCCGACTTACTGACCCATTCCCCTGGTCCCTTCTTCCCCTCTGCCCCTCTGCATAACTGGGAACAGACTACTGGCCTTCATGCAGCGAGCCATCTTGTCTTCCCAGCCAGGAGGGTGGGCCACAGGCAAGGAGTGGCTGGCTGGGCTGGCTGGGGAACAAAGACCCTTTAGGTGACCCTGGTGGGGCAAGTCCCTGGGGTAGGGTACAGGATGGTCAATATTGCTTCTTTCCACCCCCTCCCTCCCTTGCCTCGACGCTCAGGGCCCAAGGAGCCTGGACCTTGGTCAGAGGTCAGAACCAGGGTCAGAGGCCTGGGCAGCCAGTGGGAGGGCAAGAAGAGGGCCAGGACCTCATACCCCACTCCACGCAAGCACCCCCAGCCCTCTCTCGCCGCCCCCAGAAAGTTTATCTTGTACCCAGCCAGCTCAGGGCCCAATGTACAAAGAAAGAGAGTTCCAGGTCAGAGGGTTGAGCACTTCCATGGTCACCAAATGCCCATCCCTTCCATGAGTTTCCAGTGGGATTGCTGACTCGTCTTTGGCTTGGGACGGCTTTGGCAGTAGGAGGAGCAAAAGTCATAGAGCAATGGTGTGGCTTCTCACTGTGGGCTGTTATCGCCACAGTTTGTTCAGCGTCTCCGTGGAATCTTTGGCAATGAATTTCTGCAGCCCTGGGCAAGGGGGAGGCTTTGCTCTCCCCTCCCCACCAGGCAGAGGGCAAAGTGCGGAGTCACCAGAGTGGCTGAGGGGGGACAGGAGGGTGAGAGGGAGGCCGATGTGCCCCTGCCTCACCCTGAGAGGCAGTGGTCTGAGCATCTGGTGGCATCTTGGAGGAGAAGACAAGGCTGGATTTGGAGAGCTCACCTTCTCCTCGGGCTTGACCAGAAAGAGGGCCCACAGCAGCATCCTTGGCCTAGCCTGGGGCCAGTCACTCCTGAAAGAAACAACCAACGGTCAGAAGAAACCCTACTCTCCTGACTCCTGTGTCCTAAAGGCCAACGGTCCCATGTGCTGGCACCCTCAGCACCTCCTCTCACTTACTCCTTGCTGCTGCCCCAGGAGGGACTGGTATGGCCCAGGCAGGGAACTGCATCTTGATGGGCTCAGTAAGGGACGGAGCCAGCATCTGAACCCAGGACTGGCCGCCCCCAGAGCCCACCCTCTCCCCTGACTCCCCCGTCTGCATTCGAGAGCCACTGCTCATTTTGCCAGTTTGGGGAAATGGGCAGGGCTGCAGGGGCTAGGGGGAGCTCAGGGATACCTAGTGCTGATCACACCACCCTCCGGGTCACACCCCCTGGGAACGGTCATCCGCAGCTCCTTTTCCCTCAGTTGTTCAGACAAGAGCACTATACCTGGAGCCAAGCACCTCCAACTCGAGGTGCTGCCCATCTACCTGCCCCCTGGGGGTCCCTGAGACAAGTCACCTAACTTCTCTGGGCCTCGGCGTTCTCATCTATAAAATGACACAGCTGGACCAGGTCAATAATTGCCAAACTCTCTTTTAAGCAGTAGAGATGAAGTTTGACCTGGGGAGCCCTACACAGAAAACAGAGAATCACGGTCTGGTGTATTTGCAGCAGCAGGGTGGGGGGACACAGGGCAAGGGGGTCGCATGGTGCATGCCCCCCAGTGTGAAGCTTGGGACATCTCTGGGAACCCAGGGTGCTAAGGAGCACGGTTTGGAAACCACGGAGGTTAGACCATCTCTAAGGGCCTCACCGTGCTGACCTCTGGAACCTTCGCTCTGGCAGCTGGGCTCGCAGTTGCTCCTGAGAACAGTGACCACAGGGTGTGACTTGCTACCAGGAAGGGGCAGGAGATGGGGCAGGGTCACAGGGGCTGCTGGGGCTTTAGGAGCTGTGGGGGAGGGTCTGTGAGGACAGGACCTCCCAGAACAGGCCAGAATAATGGCAGTGCCTTAACCTGGTGCAGCCCGCTCCTACTGAAGCAGCTCCAAATACAGCTTCTCTGTGACTCCTGCGACCACCCCGAACAAACAGCTAAGTTGCATGTTTTTGAAGCAAAACCTCTGCGGGGCACCTCCACCACGCCAGGGGGCTTGCTCGCATATCCCCCATCTCAGAGGTGAGCTGTTGCCACCGTTTGGAGGAGGCGCAGGAAGCTGGCCACAGCAGGATCTGAATCCGGATCGACAGTGTTTATTCTACCACAGAGAAGCCGCTCTGGCTCAACTGCAGGCTTGGGGAGCCAGGATGCCGCCAAACCACGGTTCTGGAGGGCCTGCCAACCGCAGGCCCCGGGGAGCCTCGCAGGCCCGGGGCGCTGGGCTTGGCCGGCGGCAGGGCTGGAGGTGGGGGTCCGAGGAGGAGGGGGGTTCGCCCAGCTAACGGAGGCTGAGGAGGGAGGAAGGAACGCGGGAGGAAGGAGCATCCTGATGCGCCGCATCCAGGCTCACCTCCTCTGAGCCCGCCCTGCAGAGTGCGGGCTGGCCCCGGCAGGAATCTGCTTCCTGGGACGAGTCTGAGGAGGAGGATTAAGAGGCGGGAAGGAAACCCATGGGGAGGGCGCGGGGTCTGTGGTCCAGGGGTGATTTACAGCCTGCGTCAGCCGGGCGCTGGCTGCCTGGGCGGGCCCTCTCGGTCCGCCCGCCTGCGGTCTGGGGGAAGGCGCAGAAAGCTGGCCCGGCCAGCCGCCTGAGCTGTCCTACTGGCCACTCCGTCACGGCGCCTGTCCCAACCCCTCTAGTGGCTCTCGGACCCTGCGGAAGCCATGACTACCACCCAAGAGCAACCAAGAGCAACGGAGCCGGTTCCTCTCGCCAAAGCCTGACCTTCAGTGCTCCATCCCACCCTTGCCCTGGTGTCTACCCTGGACCTGGGCTCCCACCGCCCACCTCGGTGCAGGAATCCCAGCACATGCACCAACCATCCAAGGAAGTCTTATGTCAAATGAGGCATGGGTGGAAGAATACTAGGAGGTTTTAGGTGCCAGGACCTCCTCTGAGATTAACCTTGGGGAACTTACCCTCCCTCTCTGTGCTTTAATTCCTTCACTTATACAGTGAAGGAATGTGTGTATATGTACCATAAGTACATATACATGGACATGCACTCTCCCCAAAGGGTCCGCTGTAGAATACTAGACAGGTGAGGTATAGCCCACGAGTCTGGGAAACACCACAGACCTTGGCCCCATCTTGGAAAGTCACTGCATATATGAAAGCATATTAAAGGCTCTGAAAAGTCCTGCAGTAAAGAAATTTTGCCTGGCTTTATTTACCCACTAACTGATGAATTCTTTTGATTCTGTGATCACAACTGCACCTTGAGGCAACCTGTGGCCCTTCCCTGGACTTCAAGTATCTGCTTCTTTTCTGCCTCAGCATCTGAACCCAAATGCCCAGTGGGGGCTGCAGGTTGGTCCAGTCTCAGTCAGATTTCTTCCATAGACCAGCTATGCTTGAGGGATAGGAGACAAACCCATGGATGCCCCTTCAGAAGAGGCAGGGTGTGTGTGTGTGTGTGTGTGTGTATTAATTACAGGCAGGTAATTACAAATACAGAGGAGATGGCTGACAAATACTCCCCACTGTGACAACCATACCACAGACCCCTTCTCATGGAACTGGGGGCGACATCCTGTGTCACCACATGTGAGAAGCATGTGAGAAGGGCCTCTCGACTCCCATCCAGCCCTGGCCTTTTGTGGGTGGTCTTTCCTCTGTGGGCCGAGGCTCTGGGTACAGCTGGGAAAGGCTCTTGGCTCACTGCTCTAAAGAGCCCCCTAAGTCCCAGCCCCTTACCATAGAAGATGCCCTTTATGTTTGTATGTGTGTGTTTTTTAAAGATTTTATTAATTTATTTGACAGAGAGAACAAGAGAGCACAAGCAGGGGGAGCAGTAGAGGGAGAGGGAGAAGCAGGCTCCCCGCCGAGCAAAGAGCCCGATGCAGGGCTCGATCCCAGGACCATGGGGTCATGACCTGAGCTGAAAGCAGACGCTTAACCATCTGAACCACCCAGGCGCCCCAGAAGATACCCTTTAAACAGAGTCTGCCGTGAAAATAAACTTTGAACGTGACTAGACAAGATGGCCTCTCAGGTCCCTTTCCGTGGTTCTGATGTGTTGAGTTCGATGGAGGGGATTTGGTCAGGGTGGCAAAGTGGTTGAGTTTACCACATTTAAAAATCATCTTTTGATCTGTTCATTCATTTGTGGCGCCCGAACATCAGCTCCACGAGGACAGGGACATGGTCTGTTTTGTTTGCTGATGAAGCCCTGGAGCCGAGAACCATCCGGATGCATAGGAGCACCTCGATAAATATTTGTCGAACAAGTGAATAAATATTTCCAGTCACAGGCATTTTATTTACTATAGCTTTTATATACCACAGAATATGTTTCCTGTTTCAAATGTAACTTAGCATTTTTGTAAATATGCCTATGCTTCAGGGAAACTTTGGGTAATTGTTATGAAACCTGGAACAGTGCTGCACCTTTTTCACTTTCGTTCACTTCCCGTTTTTTTTTTTATTTCTAATTATACCTCCTCGGCTTACCAAGTTTTTCTCTGGCTTTACGAGGACTGGCTTCCTCTCTCGATCACTTCTGTGTACTATAGCACAATTTTACCACTTTAGGGGCATTTGAAAAAATGACTCGATCTGCCTTCTCAGGTGTTTTACCTTTTAAATTCATTTTCAGTTTATGATTTTCATATTCATTTTCAGTCCACTCTACCTACTTAACCATTTTTCACTATTTTCGAATTATCCTTTTTTTCTATTTTAGCAATTTGGATATATTCTTGCAGATGCAGAAAAGGATCCAATGGAATGGAAATCCTGACAGTTTGTTTGTTTGTTTCTCTAAAAAGAACAGTCAGATTTCAAATGTTGTTTTAAAGCAAAACTATGAAAGACAAGCAGGGAAGGCGCCTGGGTGGCTCAGTCAGTTAAGTGTCTGCCTTCGGCTCAGGTCATGATCCCAGGGTCCTGGGATCGAGTCCCACATCGGGCTCCCTGCTCGGCGGGGAGCCTGCTTCTCCCTCTCCCTCTGCCGGCTGCTCCCCCTGCTTGTGCTCTCTCTCGCTCTCTCTCTCTCTCTGTCAAATAAATAAATAAAATCTTAAAAAAAAAAAAAAAGATAAGCAGGGAGGACATGGGAGATGTATTTTCAAGACCCACACTATTAGGTATTATTTTATCTTTCACTTCTCAGTGCACCAACATGTGGGCTGGGAAGGGCCTTTGTGTTTGGTTGCAAATGCAGAACTGTGGGGTCCACTGTGGCCCCTAAGTCAGCAGGCCACAGGGCCCTGGGTAGGCGGGCTCATAGCTCCATGCCTCAATTTCCCCATCTTGAAAGAGGACACAGTAATAGTACCTGCCTTCCAGGCCAGTTGCCAAGAGTCAATGAGACAACGGAGCCATGCCCCTGGCAGGACCTGGCACACCGTGGAAGGTGCTGGTTCACATCCCTGCAAAAAGCTGGGTCCTCCCTTTGACGAACGGGTATCCGAAAATATAAAGATGGCATCATAGTCTGAAAAGCCTCAAGTAATCAGAAATAGTCATGTTGAACCAACTGTCATATTGACCAATTTGTTTTTGGTGGATTTAAAAAAAAAAAAAGACAATTTCTAAAATTACATAAGGCATGTCCATCACCCCATGACTGGATAACCAAAGTATGGTGTATCCATACAATGGAATGTTATTCAGCCAGAACAAGGACGGAGGTACTAATACATGCTAGAACACGGATGGACCCCAAAAGCAGTGTGCTAAGTGAAAAGAAGCCAGTCACAAGAGGCCATGTGTCCTCGGATTCCATTCACATGAAGCGTCCAGGGTGGGGAAACCCACAGACTAGCGGCTCCCTGGGGGCAGGGGGGACTGTGGGGTAGGAAGGGAGAACTAAAGCATACGGGTGTCTTTCTCGCCTGAGAAGAAAGTTCTAAAATGCACTG